GAAGAAAAAGAATCTTTCATTTGTTGTACAATAGACAATTATTTCTTAAAATCATCCAGTGCTGAACAAACAAGAAACAACTCAGTTTCTTAACATCATCACTATCCATTATTCAGGCTTACATCCTATTTACTCATTTTTAAAAGGCTTCTATGGCAACAGAATGACATTTCCTTCTGTAGGAATTTAAATTTTTATTCTGTATGTATTTATTTCTGCTTGGTTTCATTCTGAGCTTGTATATATATTTATATGTAAGTGGAAGTTTTAAAATTATTGTCTTACCTCAAGGCATTTATACAGAAAATCTCTCAAGGCAAGTTTTCTGATTGAAATCAGTAGCTCTGAGCATTTTATGCTTCTCAATAACAAATTCAGAGATGTACACCACTGAATTATGATTACATTGACTGTTTATTCAAAGGTTAGTATGAGTGTGTGGGAGCAAATGTAAGCCTGAAAACAAAGTTGTTAATAAATTTGAGGAAATGACAAGGATCTGTGGGGGCGGGATATTTGGGATAAAGTTAAAAGGTTCAAATTGTGATTAAGGATTTTGGAGATGAGATTAATGTTGAAAGAATTTTTTATTAAAAAGAGAAGCTCATGCCTTAATAGCAAGAAGAGATGCTGTTTGAAAGTGACAAACACCTAAAAAGGTGTGATCAGTTTGATGAGTGTGAAGAATGAGAAGCAGATGAATGGATCTCAAAAAGACTTTGAAGACAATTATTTCTTTTATATTGTCAAAATGCATTAAGTTTTGAGGATATAGAAGCAAAATGAAAAAAAATTAGGGACAGCTCTTTGTATCAATGACACTTAAATTATGTGAACTCCTTGCAGGATTATGGTTTGAGATTTTTGTTCTGAAAAATGTACAAATTTTTCAAATATTTTTTAACCATAAAAATGTTTTGTTATTAAAAAAAAAAAAGAAAAAAAAAAGAAAGCCATTTTGACAATATGATATTGGCCAATGAATATGTGTTTCATATAGAGAGGCAATGTGAGGACAGAGTCAGTGAATGTAACTTTTGAGATGAAAATTGAATGCTTTTGTCATTTGGAAATAATGTGATGAACTTGAAGTATAGTTGAGCAGAGAGACTTGCAACTGGAGAGATAATGAATAGACATCATTGGCATCCAAAATAACAGACAAATACCAACATTTAGCATACATTTTGGCACCTTCTGGCATTCATAAAAAGAGAAAGAGTGAAGATGTTGATAGTTGCAAATGACATTTTAATGGTTGGACAAAGAAAGTGTTGCAAGTAATAAAAAGGTTATAAAAAGGAAACTGACAATAATTGGAAGAATAAAAAAAAAATGTTCATCATTCAAAAATGCTCCTAATTTTATTAAAACAATTTGAATATAATGAAAGCTTATAAGGATTATTTTGATTTGAAATTTTATTGCATTTTTAGTGTTTATGGAAACTTTAATCTAGTTTAGACCCTGTTGTAATGTCATGATGAAAGGAGCCAATTTGCCGTTTTCAATGAATCAGTCTTTTTTCAATTGTTCTTTAACCTTTAACTGATATCTTTAAATTCCACCCTTCAAAGTTATATCATTATTTTATTCAGAAAGTAAACCAAAGATACAAAATTTAGAATTCAAAGAGTTGCTTAAATTCATTGTATTTAAAGACACAACTACTTTTAGACTTACAAAACTGCTTACTAGTTGGACTAATGTCATTTTGATTGTTTTATAAAAGCACTTCAAATTATTTTTTGTCTGAAATCTGGTTGAGAGTTTTGCTTAGTTAAGGAAGATTACACACCTTCAAACAACTTTTCATTAGCCCACTTCTTTTGGCTGCTGCTGCTTGTCAGTGAAATTTTAAAATTTACATTTCTGACACTAAAGATGGAATAATTAACAAAGTCAAAGAAAATAGAGTACTTCTTTCAATTTGTACCTTTTTTTAAGGGAGATCATGAATTAGAAATAAATGATTATCATTTCCTGACCTCAAGTGGAAAATCAGATGATCCATCATTAAAGATGCTGGAGAAATGAGCCGTTCCTTGTACTGACCTAGGCAGTACCTTACCCCACCTGTCATGCTCTGTCTTTACAAGAGTCAAACCAAAGCAAAAGTGGAGTATTGCTGTCATATCTGGATTGTAGCCATCCAATTCTCACTTTCCAACTTTGTTAGTTTGGAAATGTTTACACAGATTTGTGGGAGAGGAGTTATTTCTCACCTGACAACCCCTTTCCCATCATCAAAAAGTTGTGAGCCTCTCATTATTATTTGATTGCAGACAAGCTATATTCCTTAGTTCCACCAATCCAGACATTTACAGCTAGTGCCTGCCATACCACATGGTTGACTCATCCTCATTCCCTTCATATTCCATTGGTAAAGAGGAAGTTACACTCAGATGACTTCAAGAACTGTTACTTTATGAAAGACTCCCAAGAGGATGCTTCCACAATCACTACGATATTAACTGCTTCAAGTTCAACTGTTATCTATACCACATAATATGCACTGCTTACTTCCTCTTAGACTCACAACAACCCCATTCAGTAAACCTCTACTTTGAGTGGCTCTGGGGCCTTGTATTGGATGAACAATAGCATATTTAGGAACTACCTTCCTCTGAAAAATTAGATTTGAGAAAGATTATCATTAGGATTAAATGAACTGGTAACCAATATTTGCAACATAAATCCATAAAAAAAAAAAACAAAAAAAACAAAACAAAAAAAAACTTATAATTAATTGTACAAGAGTTTTATCTAAATAATATTATTATAGCTTTATAAAACTACCTAATTATAAAAAAAGTGACATTTCTGCCTTTAAATGTCTCAACAAAATGATGAGTAGATCCCCAAAATAATGAAGTAGACAGCTGTTGCTTTTAGGTTGAGCCTATCAATATCTAGGTGTAACAATCATAAAAAATCTTTATACAGATAAGTGTTAGTGTTACTTGAAATAAAAATATTCCTATATTGTTTCACAGACTAATACAACCTAAAAAAGTCATATTACTGATAGATTATGAAAAGAGAACAAAAATCTGTCAGAAATTAAAAAAAAAAAAAAAAAAAGAAAGAGAAGAAAAAGCGTAGGTAATGGTCAGTTTAAATGTCTAAGAAGAAAAAGGTATAAAATGTACAGAAAATAATTGTAGGCAACATTGAACGATTGTATGTGTATACACAGAAATGAATCAATCAGTGCATTGTGTGTCTGCGCTTAGGCCAACTGACCAGGGTTTAATGTCTTTATGGCCTTAGAAATAAGAAAAAGACAGGTGACTTTTCTTTGGGAATAATAAAGAGACTATTGGGGGGGTCTGGAAGTGATAAGACAGGAAGATTAAGTACAACTGCAAAAGAAAATCTGTCTAAATGAAACAAAGAAATTAGGTCTACATCTATTACACAAAGAGATATATTAACTCAACATCAAGGTCAAAGAATAATAGACAAGAAATGAAGACCTTTGCACATATTAACAATACCAGTTTCTAATACATTTAGAAATTATATTTAAGGATTTTAATATAGGTAGTATTAAGAAAACTGAAAAATCAGCAACATTAAAAATGAATAATGGTTTAAGTTGTACTTCAAAAGTACACTAAAGTATCTCTTTAGTTTTTGGAGCACACAATAGAGTACAGAAGTCTATACAAATAATCTAACCCCCACAAAGTTCATTTTCTTTGGATCAATAGGTAAAATGTTGGCACTTTAAAATTTTGTTTTTGGTTGCAATGAGAAAGATTTTGGTTGAAAGTAAATAGACATTTGGTAATTTCTGAATTATGATCAAAAGGAATTAAAATAGATTATCCTAATTTTCCTATATTTTTATTGAACTTAAAGTCTGTTTTCATGAAAGACACAAAAGAACAATTTTCCCATGCCAGCATTCAATTCTACCTGTGATGATACTAATCCCCACTCCTACTCTTTAGAAAAGAAGAACCTAAAAACTTAAAATTAAATGCTTACATTTACCACAAAAATGACATAAGAGAGCAAAGAATTTTATATGGAAGCAAAATTTGGAGAAAGTACTTAATTTTTGTTCATTAATTAGAACATGTGAATTTCAGAAGAAAAAAAAAGTAATCGAAGACATTCGCCAGGCATTTCATTTACAAAAGCACAAACTGAAAATACTCAGTTACTAAAAGGATGGCTAAATGAAGGCTTACACTTGGCAGAAATGATCCTTAGAAAGAATAATGATATTTGTCCCCCAAACTCTAAAACACAAACTGTGAAATAAAGCATGAAGCAAATGAAAATATATAAATATATGATCTCCTGATACATAGCAACAAATAGGGGGTGAATGTGGTGATAATTATGATTTCATTTTACACTGATGAAAACATTCTTTCTAGTCTGTTATTGTAAATGGTCATTGTGTAAATTGATGATAGATAAAATTTTTTTAAAAAATCATGATTAGAAATTAGCAATTAAATGTGATCAAATGAGTTATCAAAGAAATTAAAAATGGTTCTATTGAGTTAATTTCCAAAAGGAATTAATTTTTTGATTGGCAAAAGGAGTGAATGATAATTTGCTCTAAAAAAAAAAAAAAAAAAAACTGTAAAGTAAGAAGGTAGAGAGAGAGAGAGGTGAGTAGTAGTAGGAGAGTGGGGGAGTGAGAGGTGATGAAGTTTAAGAGTGTTGACACCAGGGAAATAATGGATCCAGATGAAGAGACATGAAGATAAATGGGATGATGACAAAACAAAAATAATGACTTTGAAAAGAAAAAATATAAAAAAAATAAAAAGAGAAGCAAGTAAACAATGTGATATGCCAGCTGGCCTGCTCTTCCAAGCTCTACCCAACTCTAATATGGACAAATTTATTTTTTGTTTTTCTCCCCGTCTGTTTAGGGATTTCCAAAATCAGAGGGAATGGAGCAGGGAAATGTAAGCGGACAGACTGGCAAATGAGCGACTTTGGTTTATTTGCGGGTGGACAGGCATGCATACCTTCACAGAGGTCAAGGAGAGAATTGGACAAAGCAGACTTCTTCAAACCACACTCAGGTGCAGAGAGCCTATTTACCGCAGGATCTGATGGCTTTAGCACGTCATAAATCAAGACTCGAGAGTCATCATCAATGGTGTTGTGAGTGGCACGATGTCGTTGCAATTCCTCTTCAATCCGTAAGCTTTCTAAGCCAGTGGTCTGAAATTAAGCAAAGAATGTAAACAAAGAAAAAAAAATGTTTAATTGTGGCAACAGGCTGCATTTGAGTCAAAATGAGACCATGTTAAAAACGAATAATAATAATAAAAAAAAAAAGTCTGTACCCAGATGAGATGGAACTGCACATTGCAATAAATACAGGTATATTCTAGACATAAGAGAGATTAGACTAAAAGTTCACATAAGTGCAAAATTACTGTAATTCCCCATGTGTGACATGCCTTCATCCATAATACACACCCCTAAAATTGTGCTGAAAGTGTGGGAAAATGCTTCTACTCGCACATAATACACACCCCTTGTTTGGTAATCAAACTATAAATTGTACCTCTCCAATTTCATTACGGTCAGCATTTGCTACTCTTATTAAAAAAAAAAAAAAAAAAGTTTTAAACAGAATATTATTCTAATTTAGTTTTATGATAATTCTTATTTTATTTTACATTTGTTAGTATTTTTAGTTACATATGATTGTATTTGACATCCTTATGGGGTGTCGCAATCACTGAATGTTAGTATCAAATTGTCATATGTTTGTAGTGAATAGTCATTTCACAACTGAAATTGACCTATGAAACAGCAATTATTTTTAAAGATTATTTTTTGCAGCTGTGCATAATATGGACCCCTGATTTTGCTTATTATTTTTCAGAAAAAAAAAAAAAAATATGTGTATTAATATGGGGAATTATGGTAAATATACGGCCTTTCCAACATTAACTTTTAAATGAAAACTTACAAAGATAAAAATTTAATTCTTGATGATAATTACTTAAAGATTTTCTAAGAGGAAATCATTTCTTATTCAAACTTCAGCCATATTGTAACAATATTAATTTATTATCATGCTTAATTAAGCATTATAATAAATGATAACATAAGATATAGTTGAAATACTTTTCCTCCTATTTGTACATATATTGGTGAATACATCTAAGAAGAAATGACAATTGAGAACTTACATATGTATAAGTTTCATGAAAAAATATTAATATCAAAGTATAAATAAATAATTGCATAGATCATGTTTACAGATATAGTGACACTTTCCTATATAGATATACATACATAAAGACACTCACTGAGTGTGCCAACTAATTGAGAACACACCTTTATAATGAAAAAAATGACCTAACAATCATGTTATACTCCATGCACCAAATTATGATATTCATTTCACTTATCAAGAGCATTAACACTAGCTTCCAATGTGACACAGAAAGTAAGCTGCTATGCTTGTGACACTGGTCAGTAACAATGACAGATGGCCAGCTTCTTGGTAGAAGCATATTCTCTATGGCCAAGAAAAAGAAATATTTTAAGTGGTCAAACCTCATAAAGAGAGCAAAGTTAGTCCAGCAGAACCAAGACATAAACCATGACCTTTTCAAGTTGATGAGGGCTATCACAGAGCAGCTCAAGTTTGAAAAGTTCACTATCAGGTGTGTATAGATGGTGCACAAGGACATTCAGTACAATTCCTATATGATAAGGAGAGAGCATTTATATCTAATAAATCACTCAATTCTCTGGGGTTCTAACAAAAATGCTTACTGAGCAAGCTTAAGTGCCACAATGAGAAGAACCTTGACCAGAATGTGAACAGGAAAAACTGCAGATGGTGCTCCCTGAGTGACTTGGAGGTACCTATGGTAACACACACCAAGCTCCTGTTGTCTGTGATGATCCCAAAGCTTGCGAGGGTCAAATCAAGCAGCCCTACTTCCTACAGGGGCTCAGTCTAAATCAAGGTACAGGGCAAGATCAAACCGTTTAGTGAGAGAATAACCAATATGATCTTGAAGTGGCTTGCTTTGCAACATTGCCTCCAAGTTCTCCTAATTTGAATCTTAGACAGATGACCATGTGGAGAGGGAGACCAACCAGCAACCCCCACACAACTAAATACTTACTGAAGGCCACTATTGTGGATGTGACAGATGAGATGAGCAAGAACCACATAATCTGGGCATAAATTCATTTCTGAAGCTGACCTTGAAGTCAAGGATAGTTTTGTTAAACAATCTTTGTCTAAGTTAAATGTGCACAAATTTGAGTGAAAGTATACTGATTTTTGTATTGATTATTTTTCTTTAGAATTTGTTCTTAATTACTTGCTTCATCCTATATGTGTGTCCACACACACAGCTTTGAGATGAGCATAAAATGAAATCATGAAACTGGGTTATCCTGGTAACAATAATCTTTTGTTTTGAAATGATTTGAACCATTGTTCTATTTGACTCATTTTCTCTACAAACCATTTATATTTTCAAAGCAAAAATATAGTCTTCAAATCTGAAAGATATGATCTAATAGACTACAGATTCTCCTCCTACCACAGACAACATTTACTGCATAAACAGAGTTCATTGTTTTGCAATGGCCTAAAATTTAAAAAGCCTTTATATCTACAAAAAGAAAAGAAAAAAGAAAAAAAAGAGTGGGGATGGGCAGGAAAAGAAAACATATCAGTTGTTTAAATTTCAGTAGTTTACAACAACAATCCTCAATTACATATTTCTACAAACATGATAGTATATTGTTGGAGGAAATGGGAGAAACCGTTTGTTTTGCCAACATGTAAAGAGTGCCATCAAAATTAAGTGGAGATAATTTTCAGGTTTATGTTTACAATTCTTTTGGTGACCTTTAAATAAATTTATCTGATACCAAAATTTTTTTTTAATCCAGTAATGAAGCACTTGATACTAACCTGAAAAACTTGTCTCTTTACAAATTTACTACCCTTGAGCTGATATTTTTTACCATTCATGATCTTTACTTTGTATTTTGGTTATAAGGATTAGTTGAATTTTGATCTGGATGAGATTTCTATCATTTGTCATTTTGGCTTCACAAAGCTTAGCTTGTCAATCCAGCAGAAATGTGGTTCAAGATTAAGAGAGATTAGTATATCTAGAACCTTGGTCAACATCAACAATGAGAGTAACAGCTTTTTATTGTTACTACTATTACAACCACCACCACTTGGACAGTTGTGAGAGAGTGGCTTTCTCTAGTGTTCACAGAAACTTTTCACTCAAACACTGTTGTATACCAATAAGACATTTTATTTGAATAACTAGCAATGGAAAAGTGAAGTCATGCCTTTTCTAAGTGTATTAGCACAAAGTGAATATAAATAAGCTGTTCACTTTTTCCATTTTTATGCAGCCTGGCACCTCATTTTATACATACAATGGGATTCATTTCACAGACCATTGGTAGTAAGTTGGATTTTCGAGTGTTTAAAAGGTGAAGTACAGACTTCCTAGTTTTCCTTTAGATTAAAAAAAAAATGTTGGGTTGGTTTACAAGGAACTTGAACAAGATCATATTCAGTGAAGCTGGATAGTTGATTTAGGCAATAAAGTAATGTTCTTTGACAGAATAATGCTGTACAAGTTGTCTGATCTTTTCCGCACATTAGCAAAGTGAAACTTTTTTTTTCCACTTTAAAGTCAACTCACATGAAGTTCTTAGCTAAGTTTCTTACTTTAATATTTGCTGAAGTGTTTTTGAGTATCACATTGTGACATATACAAAAAAAATGTAAACTTAATGTCTTATGGCACAAATTAAGCAGAATAATTAATTTTCAGATCATAATTTATAGTAGTGAAATGTAAAGAAAACATACTAAATCTGATTGTTAAATCTTTAAAAAAATTAGTTCATAGTAACTAAATAGAATTTCACAGTATCTAACTTTTAGTAATGATAAAAATTCTCACTTTTTTTTTCTTTTTTTAGATCCCCCATCTAACGTTCACTAATTTATTTTTGTAAGCACAAATGATTTTTGATGTACCATTCATGAATTTAATTATCGTATTAAATAAGGAAATGATCCAGTGTATGGAAATGTTTGTGATAAATAACATGAGAAACCTGTCGGTTTTTTCCTCTAAAAACGGTCAAGCATGAAAATTCTTGACAAATATAATTTCTGATAGAAAAATTATAAATATAATTTTTTCTAATAGAAAAACCTATAATTTTCAGGAGTCAATGGTAAAAGAACAAAAAGCAGCAGCTGTGTGTGAAGTCTAAACATGTCTTGTAAGAATGAGGCTGAGGAAAAGCTTCTTTTTTTTTCTTTTAAAATGGAGGAGAGGTTTTAAAGTATCAACATAAAACTGCACCATCAATTAGTTTTTTTTGAGTGTATATCAAATCTGTACATGAAGGATTTAAAAATTTTATTTTCAAGCTATTTCAATACAAAACAGGGATAATCAAATTTTCTTATTTTCTTTGTGATTTAAAAGTTTTGATAATTTTAACGGAAACAGCAGACACATCATAATGTAAAACATTCTTATAATGGAATATGAAAGTTGATAAGCAAACATCTGAGACATGCAACTGTTGCCAAAAAGTTATATATTTGTAGCAAATAATATTTTTATATTTCAACCTCTATACCAATGTTTATTTCTTTCATGCCTAATTTGGAGAGCTTACCTCTAAAATGGCTTCTTTGAGATCTTCAACAAATTTCTGCCTATCATGGTCATTCCTAGCATTGAACGTAATTAGCACCTTGCCGTTACTGGACAACCTAATACCATATTGGTAATCTGAAAGATGAAAAGAAAAAAATAAAGAGAAAAGTGTGTATGTCTGTATGTGTGAGAGAGAGAAACGAGAGAGAGAGAGAGAGAAAGAGAGAGAGAGAGAGAGAGAGAGAGAAACGAGAGAGAGAGAGAGAAAGAGAGAAAGAGAGAGAGAGAGAGAGAGAGAGAGAGAGAGAGAGAACGAGAGAGAGAGAGAGAACGAGAGAGAGAGAGAAACAAGAGAGAGAGAGAAACAAGAGAGAGAGAGAAACAAGAGAGAGAGAGAAAGAGAAGAGAGAGAGAAACAAGAGAGAGAGAGAGAGAGAGAGAAACGAGAGAGAGAGAGAGAGAGAGAAACGAGAGAGAGAGAGAAAGAGAGAAACAAGAGAGAAAGAGAGAAACAAGAGAGAAAGAGAGAAACAAGAGAGAAAGAGAGAAACGAGAGAAAGAGAGAAACAAGAGAAAGAGAGAAACAAGAGAGAAAGAGAGAGAGAAACAAAACAATTGGTGAGACAAAGATTAGATTGGAAGAATCAATTTTTTTTAAAACTTTGAAAAATCTTTATAATTAAATAAAATGAAAATAAATATACATAATCAGATTATCTGGAATCAACATTTTTTTTAGAAATTTTACTTGATTGTAATTCTAAATAAATTTGAAATTAAAATTTTTTTTTTTCTTAAAACAATCTTTATTCTTCCTCATCAATTTTTACATTTAAATCAATAATATATCCTTTTTCTATTAATGATGTTCATCATTGGCTGATAACAAAGAATGAAACATAATTGAAAACCCAGATTTCTGAAAGGAGGAAGGTCAGACAACTGACAGAAATTTAAAAGAAGGTTTGACTTCAGAAATTGCTTTTTTTATATTTCCTTATAAAAGAGTAATGAGAGATTATATTTCTTTTTACTCATCTATCAAGATTGACAAAAAGACACGAAACAAATCTGATTATACTCACGAGGCGTTCCAAACAGATACACCTGCATGCCATACAAGGAGAAGGACTGCTTGAAGGAGTAGGTGATTCCTGTTTTTTTCTTGCTAAAAATTTTTGTAATCTGAAATAACAAGAAATTGTCGTAAGAATTAAAAAGAAAACAACATAAAAGGTGGAATATACTGTATAGAAGCTATTAATCAGGGTGATTTCAAGTCACTGAAGAAAAACAAAAATATGAATATAAATTGTACATAAACCAAAAATAATGAAGAAACATCTTTTTTATGATCATATCTTTCAGAGTAAATTAATAATAAATCTAAGTCTTTAATGACATTGAATCCTATAAACACTGTATTAAATCAGTCATGATCATTTAGTTGTTCATATTAATTTCATCATCATCATTGACTTTATCAGGAACTTCCTTGGGTGTATAATTTATCTGGAAAGAGAATGTTCCAACAGAAGACAGTTCATTCAAAATATCAATGGCAGATTCCTTAGACTGAAAAAAAAAAAAAAAAAAAAAAAAACTTCCTCACAATAAACTGGGTAGATCTAAATTTGCTGATCTTCAATACTCTTATTGAAAATTGACTTATTATTTTTCACAGGCACTGATTTTGTTTCTTTACATGTCATACATATTTACATTGTTGAACTATTTTGTCAAATTTTTCCAAGTGACATTTTTCACCCTTTGCTTTCTCCAGTGTGGGTTTCTATCAATTATTGAAATCTTGTCCTCAACAAAATAATGAACACTTCCTTTCCAAATATATTCAACCATGCCCAACTATTATAATAATAATTTTGTAGTTTTCTTAAAGTGTAAATTTCAAGAGTCAATTGGTTTCTCTCTTCATGTAAGATAATATGCACAACTCTTGGTTATATTTATCTAACAGAAGTTCAATTCGATAACATGGAGCAGTTTAGCAACAAGGAAAATGTGATGCTATCAGTGAGTTATGTGCCATATGTGATACACGATTTGGCGATCATGTATCGAAAGATATATGACTAACGAGGCAGATTTTTCCAGCAGTAGGATGCCATTTCTTTCTGCGGTAGACCAGTTGCCATCCAAGGCTATAGAACCCGGTCTGTCCTATTTACCCATAGCTGGGAGGAGAAGAAGAGGATTCATACCTTTCCCAAGGGTATTAGCATGTAAGTGAATGTAATGCATTTGACTGGAATTCAAACTTGGCTCTCCAATTTCTCAATCCGAGCCACTACCCACCGTGCCTCCTCAATGTGATGCTATACTAGTCATAAATCCTTTGGATGTCTTAAGGTAAGCTTACTATTGTGTTAGCATAATGGTAATGTAATGCCAGAAGAAATCTTAGAAATATATTGTCATGGTCTTATATATATATAACTTTTCATATCAACAATTTCTCAACTGGTATAACTTCATGTTAGAAATTGTATATCTTGCCTAAGAATGAGCTAAATTTGTTTTCTCTCACAAACCTGAAAACAACAAAGCACAAGGAATAGAAATATTACTGTCATAGAAAAATACTTACTAGAATGATGTCATTAAAAAGAAACACTTCACGCTGATGAAGACCAATTTTTTCTTTTTTATAAGGATCATGAATTTCATAAAGGCGGCAGTAGCAAACAAGGCGTCTGTGCGGTAAAGCAAGTTGCTGGGTGAGAAAAAAAAAAAAAAAAAAATCAAGTTAAATTGTAGTTAAAATTTCTTTAATGCATGAGAAAGATTTTTTATAATTGAAGCTGACAGTTTTGAAAATAGACCTGAAAATTGAGGCATTAAGGGCAGAATCCATTTTTTAAAATGGAGAAAATAAAAACATACTTTGTAGATAAACTGTATGTTATATATTTGCTTAGTATACTATAAATACTATGTTGCAGCCTAATATTTTTGTAATATGTGTAACCATAGTTCATTTACCTACATTTTGTGCCATGTGTATCAGGAGCCATTTCTTAAGAAAATAATTTTTAATTTTTTTCCAGTAACAGACTTAATGGCCATAGCACAAAGAATGTTAAAAATGTGATGCTTAGTTATTTGGTTAGGCCAACAGCTTTTCAGCACCTCCTTGCATTTGCCCTCTTATATGTACAATCAAATAATAGGAAATTCAGAGACAATGTTAATGTAAAAGAATGCCATTGCTTTTAAAATTTAAAAAGACTGAGCAATTTGGAATGTAGATTTCTTAACAAAAGAAAGAATGTGAAATGATGCTATGAAGAGTGCTGAAAAGTTCTCAGCCCAATGAAGAAGTCCTTTCAGGAGAAAGTCTAGTAAGATTTTGTGGAGTTAACTTTTCAGTGCCCCTTCCTAACTTTTGGATACAAAATAAAGGAATAATAATTTCCTAATGAGATTCAATATGTAAAGGAATACATGTTCCAAAGGGAAAAAGGAAATATTCAAAAATATAAAGAATGATTTCTTTGCAGAAATTTAGTCAATCTGTAGTGGATACAAAAAATGATTTAAACTGCTTAACCTTAAATGTTTAATAATAGATGCCATTTTCAGATATATCATTAAGAAAAAAAAATACATGTAAACATCTAACATTGAACTAAAAAAACTGCCTAAAAATTGGTAAATTGTCACAAAAAAAAACACAACAAAACAAACATGTTACAACAAAGGTGTGAATTTTTTAAAAAGATATTAATAGTACTCACTGGTTTTTTGCCTACAATGGTCTGTTCAACCTTCATTACTTGAGACTGGTGATCTACTCCTGGCTGAAACTCTTGGGCGCGGATCCGTTCATATATTCCTCGTAATAAGTCACGGTCAATATCTTCAGTTTCATCAATTCCTACAAAAAAAAAAAAAAAAAAAAAAAAAAGAAAGAAAGAAAATTAAGAGATTGTCACATGTAAACTTTTTAATCAAAAAAATATTCATATTTTTTTCACATTAAAATTGCTTTCAGATAAGTAACATTTGTGAGATAGGTGTTTTTTTTTTCTTAAACAGAAAGCAGACAATGAAGCAAAATTGAGAGCTGTTCAGTGAAAAGTGCCTTCCTTGTGTTTTCTTATGTAAAATAGTATCTATTCTTCTGAAATACCTGCATAGCAACAGGATATCTAGTTACCTTCTTAGAGCATTAAAAAAAAAAAAAATAATTTATAGTAGTTGAAGCTTTCAGCTGTGTTAACAGATGACCTAAAAATTCAATATTTAATTTTATGCTACTTTTTTTTTTTTAGTGAATACATAAGTTATAAATGAAATCAGTATTAATTTTTTTTTATATTAAAAAGCTATCTGATTGAGTGATTAGGATATATTGTTAAAATTACACACTCTTAGGCATTAGTTTATCTAGAGAGATAAAAAGACAACACTCCGTTTGGTCAAAATTCAATCCTTTGGTGGTGAAACTGTAGTGACCTCTCCAGGGCACAGGCCTGGGTCTGTATATGAAAGTGCATGCACCACCTAAACTACATAGCTCCACTCTCGGCCGTACTGACAAGATCAAAAAGAATACAGGGCATAACATTTGTGGATGGCATGGCTGCAGGAGTTGCCTGAAAGTTGTCAGTGTTGACAGCCAACTGCCTTCAGGGGTCCACTCCCGATACTTTTAAGGATAGGTGCAAGCTATGTTTAGAAGAAAAAAAATCAGGATAATAAAATATAAAGATCAATGCAAGCTATTAAATCAACGGCGAGAACTAATCATGAAATGTAGACATAGAAATAAATTCCAAATTACATATGTGTGGTGGGTGTATGTGTACGTAGAGTGGCATATATGTATGGATATGTAAATGTACATAGGTATGTATGAAGATATGTACGCATTGGACAGCATGATTTATTCCATCGGGTGCTCTGGTATTACCCACTCAACTAATTTACATTAATCTTAACGAGTTTAAGTTTAAACCCCCCATCACTTATTAATATTGGACACCTGTAGTACAAAAACTATTTACTGTGAATACCAGAAAAACACACTTGGGGCTTGTATACAAAATGCCACATAGAAGGAACTGATATTAAACTACAAACAACGAAAGGTCCTAGCCATAAGTAAAATCCAACCCCAGACCATTTCTCCCCCTGGATAAGATACCTTACACCCCCCCCCACCAATCGCTAACACAAACCCATTCTCATTAACAAAGTGTCTACCAGAAGAGGACTGACACTGAAAATAAATTTAAAACAATGCTCTGAGACAGACACTTAAGGGCTGATGATAACCATGTACAGAATGACTTGAAATGGACTATGCTCTATGTTGAGGTAATTTTTGCTTTTTTTGCTGTAAATAAAAAAAAATAAAATAAAAATACATATGCTCTGTTATAAATACATCGAGCTCTCTGGATAAGTTTTAATAATTAATATTACAAGGATCCACCTGGATTATATACCAATGGATCGATTACCTATACTATATATATATATATATATATATATATATATATATATATATATATATAATACAAATTTTATCTGAAAAGAGGACATAGAATCAAAAAGAGCTTAGGTATTTTAAAGTTTTTGGAAGGATTTTAATGACAATACCTTGGATAATCTGTGCCAACCATTTGATATGGCAAGGGTAGAAAACAAACAATAGCAAAAAACAGTATTCTTGTAAAATTCTATATAGTATTAAAAGAACATCTCATGTGCTAGTTAAGAAAACTTAGAATGCTATTAAGAGTAGTGAAATGTCAGCCATGTTACAGGAAAACTGTGTGTGTGTGTGTGTGTTATATATATATATATATATATATATATATATATATATATATATATAAGTGAGATGGGGAGCTAGGATTTATTTCAAATCGTTTTTTTTTTTATTTTAATATAGACATATTTTTTGCTAAGAAATTGTTGTTACAAAACACTCTAGTGCCTGGAATAAAACCAGGAAAAGTTACTAAAATTACAGAAAATAGAGATTTAGGAGGAGGAGGATGAAGGGAAGGAGATAAAATTAAAACTAAATCATATGGGTGTTTATAAAGTCCATAAGAGATTGTTCCAAAAGCTAGGATGATGTTTTAATATATTACAACTCTTCAGTTATGTTTTAGTCTAATGTAATAATACTATGACCTGTGTGGATTTTAAAAGTATATAAACTCTACAATGTCCAGTCAGTTATAATAGAATTAACTTTATAAAATGGAAAAATATAAATCATAATTTAGATTTTACAAGCTGAATTTTTTTTCTTTTCTTTCTATTATTATTGACAAAATAACATTTTTCTTATTTGGTACTAAGATTGGAAAGAAGAGGTTTTGTTTTTTTTTTAATCCAATCCAGAATTGAAACAGACATGGAATTTTGATAAATCCCAAATTTGACTAGTATGTCGGACTCTCATATACTATGTCACTTCATGGCTCTCTACAATTTTTGTCCCTTGTAGTTCAAAGCAACTTCTAACACTACACTTTCCCCTCTTTCTCACTGATCTGCCAAGCTCACACAAACTAGTTAAGTATGTTACTTGCTGTTTCTCTGCCCTTACTCCCATCAATGTGTCATGCATTAAATTCTCCAAGCCCTCTTTCTTCATTACATGTCTCAAAAATTTTAACCATCTTTTTCTGATAGTATTTGTCCTTTAATTCTTATATTCTTTAAAACTTCTTTGTTGCTTGCATATTCCACCTTTGGTATTGTCAGTATCTTTTGGTAGAACCACATCTGTTGCTTTGAATCTCTTCTTCATCTGTTTCAAAATTGCCAAGCATTCACTACAACATTAGAGGATAGATACTACATAGCAGATCAGCACTTTTCTTTGGTTCTAATTCAATTTTCTTTCTCTTATAACATTTAGTTTCTGGAAGGCATCTTTCGTTATTCCTAATGGGCCTTTGGGTTTGTGTGTCACATTTTGTTACAATACAAACAAGATAGTTAAATTTATGTACTTGCTCAATTTCAATGCTCTCAATCTGCTTCTCATACCTTGGACTGTCTCTTGTCAATAACTGGACTTTTCTTACAGTTAATAATTAGTCCTTGACTACCTTGTCCAAGAGTTCTTTCAGTTTTGCTTTTTGAGTCTGCCATCAACAGTGTCATCTGCATATCTTTTGTTAAAATTATGTTTGCCAATAATGAATCCTGGTAAGTCTTTTCATTCTCTTAGGATTATCTTGTGGTAAAAGTTAAAGAAATCTGGTGAGAAAAGGCATCCTTAGTGTTATGTGTCTTTCTATTTTTGTAGATCTCACTGAAATTTTTTTTTATTTGCATGCAAGCAGTTTGTTCCAAGTAAATGTTACAGATTATTCTAACATCTTTTCCCATATAACTCAAGGTTTCCTATATGTATTTATCAAATACTTTTGTGTAATCTATAAAACATAACTATAAATCTTTCTGCATTTCTACAGCTAGCTCTGAGAGCATTCTCATAAAAAAATAGCATTTCTTGTTCCAGTGTCTTAAATAAAACTATGCTATTTCTCCCTATTTCTACACTAATTCTGACATAAGCTCTATTTATTCAAATCCTAATTAGTTTATGTAGTTTATGAAGCTGATTGTCTAAAGAAGTTTGCATTCATTTGCACCTGGTTTCTTTGGTATCGCTATGAAAAAAGTTGTGGTATTTCACTGGTTATACATTTCATTTATTATTTTGGTAATCTTATTGACACCAAAAACCATCTAAAAGCTGACAGCATTTCTGCTATAATCCTATCTGATCTTGCCTAGTTTCTGGTCATCTTTGACAGTACTGATCTTATTTCAAATTTTAATTCAGCAGGTCTTTCCATATTTATTTATATATATATATATATATATATATATATATTTATTATTTGAATATTGTAGACTTTTCTCCCTTTTATTGTAAAAGAGTATTATTTTTTTTTTTAAGTATCTTTTTAATTTTTTCTCATGAGTATTCCAATTTAGATTTTACACATTCTGTTGAGCTAGGATATCTTGTCTTATTTATCTTTTTATACATGCCTGATGTCTGTTCTGTAGTATTCCTATGTTTGTGTACTTGTTGAGCCATTCATTTTTTGCCTGTTTGCATTTCTTTCTAATGTTTTGCTTTACATCCTACATACTGTTCCATTCCATATCTTGTTTCTTTTTCATTAGCTTGAGAATTTCATCTGTTATCCACTTCTGCTTTTGTCCCTTTCATTGGGATGGTCTTACTCACTGATATCACTAAAGCTTCCCTTAAGGTGTTTGCCTTTGAATACTTTTGTTTATCCTCCTAAGTGACCCCTATTATAATTCCTTTTGATCTTTAGAGAGTTCATACCATTGTGACTAAAAAAACAAACACAACAAAACCTGGATCTAAAAATTTTCATGTTCTAAAACAATCTGCTGTTTGAAAGATATCAGAAATTACTGATTAAAATATACATTTCAGCATTGTTCAACATAAGAATGGTTGTATATCTATTTCATTCAGCGAACAAATTTTTTTTTTCCACAAATGGTATTTACTCACTAAAATGGTCAATGTTGACTAACCAGAAGTTACAATGAGAATTTTTAATGACAAAATCTTAAATTGAAATTGGCAATGAAAGATTAAAATAGCTGTTATCTATCTTTCTTTTCACATCTACTTGTTTTTATTGTTTATCAAGGCAGGCCAATGAATTGTTATTTGGACAGAAATAGTGCAAATCAAATTGTTGAAGTGATCTTAACATTACAATGACACTGGTTGAAGATGGTAAGGGGGGGGGAATGATAATTTTGTCAAGGAATTTAAATCTTAATTAAAAAAAAAAAAACAAAAAAAAACAGAAAGAAAGAAAAGAGAACTGTTTCTCTACAGAGCTGAAATTTCCTTTAATTTTATTTGTGGGGAGCTTGTAAGATGCAACCCTCCCCTGGTGATGCTTGCTTGTCACAACAACTATGTCAATTAGAGAGACACAAACAAGGAGTGGGGGAGTTTTCTTCACTTGTTTCTTTGGGCAATTAAGTGTCACAAAGAAGGAGAGACTCATTCAGAGAGAGAGAGATATAGTGGAAGGAGAGTCTTACAATCAGGCATTTATAATAATAATAATAGTTCAGAGGGGGTAGCAGCAGTACAAGAGCCAATTCAAATTGAAAACAGATAATTAACATTAGAAGTATTAAAGGAAAAAAAATCCAGTAGAATAGAATTGGTTATTCAGGGTGAGATAGAAAATTAATGATTTTTGTGTGTGTGTGTGTGTGTGTGTGTGCACACACCAATATCTATTAGAGCTGCGTACTTGCAAGCATCAGCAGATATCCCGATTTATAATGTACACCTGAAATTTTCAACTTACAGCACTGAAAAAGGAAATAAAATTTAAGAAATCAGTTATTAAAATTAAATTTAAAAAGGTCAATAATTAAAATTTTAATCCTTGTGCCATTTCTAAAAGTTACTCGATTTATTTTTTTTTAACTTTATATTCATATTTATTATTTATCTAAACTGTGCTTTGACATTTTTATGGCTACTACAGATTTGGCTGACTGAGATTCTCAAATATTAAATAAAATTATTAAATAAAGCACACACACATACAAGCAGAGAACTATTTAAAATTTATAAAGTAATGGGTGTATAGGGGGGAGCTAACCTGGTAATTTAAAAAAAATTTTATGTGCAGAAATATTCAAGAATAATGAAATTTGAACAAAGTTATCTGTGACTGCACCACACCCCCAACAATTACTCAACTAGGCAGAGGAATCAGAGTTCTAAGGTTTCATCTCCCAAATCCTCACAGCAGTTGTAATTAAAATCTTTTTAATAAACAGCAAAGATATCTGAAAATATACAAATCAAATCTCTTTTTTAAAATTATTATTGGGGGGGGGGGACAAGTGTTAAAAAAAAAAACAAACAAAAAAAAAAAACGATTAAGTTTGGTTTACAGTTTACCAGTTTTAAAATAATTTTTATTCCTCCTAAAAATGGTGAAATCACTTTCCAATTTGTAAATTACGGCAACGGTTAAAAAAATAAATAATAATTAGACTAACTGATAAGAATTTGTTTTCATCAGTTGTTACATCAGAATTTGCAAATGATTACTGTATATACTTCTGTATAAGCTTACTTCATGCCACTGTGTGGCCACTAAATATTTTTTTGCATGAATTTTAATCCCTCCCCAAAAATAAAAATTGGCCTGTGTATAGTGCAACTTGTAACTGTAAATGGATGATTTTTAGCCTCTAAAAAAAAAAAAAAAAAATCTATGTATAGTGCAACTGCCTATTTTTTGTGTAAACAAAAAAACAAAACAAAACTGATCATGAAAACTTATAAAGTCAAGTATGTACAGTATTCATATGGAATGCAAAATAATTTTGGAAAATGGCAGTGGCCATGACTAAGTCCATTATGAAATGTGCTTTCATTTCTTTACGAAGATCTACTATATTATACTTTCTTAAATTTTAAATAATTGCCTACTTTTGTGTGTGTGTGTGTGTGTGTGTGTGTGTATTTAATAACTATCTTCATTAAAACTATTTTGCTGAAGCTAACCAATTAGCTAACAGAAGTGAATTTTTTGCATAATAGTAGCCAATATAAATAAACCCTATTTTAATAATAATAACCACCATGTTAAATATATCAGGTTGTCAACATAAAAATATTTTCTTTATTAATGCCAATATTTCAATGAATCCTAATAATACATGAACTTTCCACTTAAACAGTTATATATAATATTGCCAAAAGTGACTTTATACATGAAGACATACCAATATTTTGTAGTGTTGGTTACAAAAAGTCTTTTTTTTTTTTTTAAATTATCTTTAGAAGCCTCTTACTTGGAATAGGGTTGTCTGCGAATTCATGTGCAACTATCTCACCTTTATGCATATTAACACATCTGATCCACAGATGCTATTATGAGTGACTATATGATTAATAGGCCAAGTTACATATGAGGAAATAAGAGTATACACTAAGAGGGTGAATGAAATAGATTTCGAGTTATCTCTCAAAAATATATTCTTGGCAGAATAAAAAAAAGGAAAGAGTTTTGTGCTTAAAGAGAGGATGGGTAAATTCTACTTACCTCTGAGGTTTTTGATAAAGTCTTCTAGTTTCATTCGCTTTTCTGTCTTAATGTTGGAATTATGCAAGTCTGTATTGAGCATGATGATAGCAAAGGCCAGTAAGAAGATAGTGTCTGGGTTTCGGAAATTTTTGATTTGGTCAGGGTTGCATATACAGTAGCGATGAGCAAATGCCTAAAGGAAAACAAACAAATGGTTTCATGAGGAAAATTGTTAAAGCTTACAACACAAACAATGAGCAAAAAGATAATAGCTGCATTCTATTGCTTTGAAGAATTTAAAATATCTTCTACGTATAGACTCAAATTATGCAAACATCTCATGATGAATATTAAAACTGAATTTATGGGCTATGGAATAATTAAAGTACAGAATTAGTAACTTGACTATGTAGTGTATAGACCATTAAATAAAAGCCACAAGAAAAAAGTTAGATTATAGCTCCACATAATATATTTACCACACTAAGACGTGAAGAAAACTAAATAGATAAAAATACACAAATCATTTAAAAAAAAAAAAAAAAAAAAAAATTTGTGATCTTGCTTCTAAAAATACTAAATATAATTTGGTAAAAGTCAATATTATTATGATGAGTATCAAGCCTTTCCAAAGAAAACATTCTCTTCATAATTAAGCATAAAATAAAATTTAGAATCTGACAGTAACTAAACAAGCCAAAAGAATGAAAAACGGGATTCAACTGGTGGGCTAGATTTTCCCAGTTTTGTGTTATATATATATATATATATATATATATATATATATATATATATATATATATGAATAAAAATGACAATAGGAAAACTAGTAATTGCTGATGTGTTTCGTCCAATGTGGACTTTATCAAAGCAAAATACGAAATGAATTTAATTGAACAAGGTAACTAAGAAAAACAAAAACAGAATGTTCCTAGTAATTATTACTTTTCCTATTGTCATTTTTATTCATAACTAGTGTCTTCTCTACTGGTTAAAGCATATAAATTTTCATATATATATATATATATATATATATATATATATGGTGCGATGGATAAATTGTTGTCTAAATTACAGACAAATGAAAATAATATGGAGATCTCATTTTAACATACACTTACACAAAAATATCTTGAAATACTAAAGAGTAATTTTTTTTTATTCAATAAAAATTGCTGTGGGCTTCAATCACTGCCTCCAGATGACTATGGAATCTCCTGCACCTCTTCTGGATGATTAGTTATATATAATATTGCCAAAAGTGACTTTATACATGAAGACATACCAATATTTTGTACACCGTTGGTTACAAAAGTTAAAAAAAAAAAAAACCCTCTGGCAGAAATTTTTCTCATTTGAGAAAAACCAAAACATGTTTGGTTGGAGGGGGGATGTTTGAGTTTGTTCAAAAGCTTTACAGCACAGTCTTCTTGTCCTTCATGGATTGAGATAAAAATTGGCCCTTTCTCATCTTGTATGAGAAATACTGAATGTTTTCATGCACTACCTGACTGATAAGAAACTCAGACACTCCAGTGTCCCTGGCTTGGAGGGATGGTTGTTAATCATGGCTTGGATCTCACCAACAAATTCAGTTATCAGAAAAGATCAAAGTGAGTTTTCTGAGCTGCTGTACCTTTGTAATCACCATTAGCAAGTCCAACTCTTTAAATTCTCTGCATGGTCCTCAGATTGACACCCAAACACTCTGAAATGTTTGTATTGGGAGTTTCTGGCATGAATGCCAAGCAGTACAACATTCTGTTCCCAAGTTTCTGGCAGAGTGAATTGTGTCAAGATGCCCTTTTCTCACACACAGTGCCCAACTGACCCTACTATACTGTGCAGTTGAAAAAAAAAAATAAAAATAAAAAAACAAACAACATGTATGCGTGAAATTAAAAATATAAAATGGTGACAATTTACTCATTGCACCCTCTGTGAGGGGGTGTGTATATATATATATATATATATATATATATATATATATATATATATATATATATATATATGCCTTGTTACAAAAAGGCAACTCAGCAACAGACTGACAAAATGACATCTAGCACCATATCAGTGAATTCCCCCATGCTGAAAAAAAAGAAAAGAAAAAATAATGCACTCACTGACATTCTCTGATGTTTGTTGAATGTTTACACTCTTTGAAGAGTTTGGATTTGTTGCCTTCGTCAAACTGACTCCATAGACATTATTTGCCTGACCTAAGATCACTGGCGAAAGTGCATAGCTAATGGTAGTGGCTATGTGAAAATGTAGTGTTTTAGAGATGAAAATTTGCTTTCACTAGCAGTGTTATCTGTTTAGAAGTGATAGTTTCAACGTTATATATAAATATATATATATATATATATTAGCTTTGGAGAGTTATATATTAAATATTTTAGTTTTGTCATAACAAAAAGACAAAATTTACTAAGAGCTACAAAGGACAGGAAATTGTGGAGAGCCATGATCACCTACACCCTGAAGGGACACAGCACATAGAATTTTTTTCAATTTTTTTTCATCATCTGATGCTTTTTAGCAAATGAGAAATTTGCCAATGCTTCTTGGTGGGTCATAAATCCACCTCTACCAGGTTTCCAAATCGTCATCATAATTATTGTTCTTGTGACTTTAATATGCTGGTTCCTAAGCCATTAAATTTCCATATTTACCTGAGAATTAGTAGATCCAGTGTTAATCAACATTATGACTACTTAGAAATTATAGTCATTAAGTTTTTGCTTAACTGTATTTTCAGGCAATGATTTTATCAGACTCCTATACTATAAACATTTTTCTTAAAAAATGTGATCATGGAGTTTGTCTTTTTTTAGTGTTTCTAAGAATTAAATGTCCAGTTGGTATCAAAATTTCTCTAATTGTGCTTATCAATTTTTATTAGTTTTTCTTTCGTTGACTTTTGGTTGCTTTAAAGTAACAAAAATTAGTGGAAAGAAAAATTCATACATAATGGTTGACTACTGTTTGTTTCCGAGCACACCTGCTTGCTAGGGCAGCTAGCCAAACCTTATTACAGATTCTTGTTCAATCCATAGAGCACATTTGGTTTATATTGCAGTTATACTGAGCTGACCTGAGTCACAGTTTCTGGGTGAGAGTGCATAACCTGGTGTGATTATTATTTTTTGAACAATGCCAGTACACTCAAACCCTCAGTCATGATGACTTGTGACTTTGTATTAGCACAACCACTGATGGCTTCCGAATGGTCCCACCTAGCCAATTTCACTCACAAGACATGGGTTAAATCAATGTAGTTTTCAGGTACTTTCCAAAGGTGCGATACATTGCAATCATCAGCCCACTCCACAGCTTAGAACGTCTCTATCAACAAACTGATTATGATGAGATCTAAACTCAAGTTTCATAGTCAGAAAGCAAACATTCTAACCATTATGCCATGTGTGCGTATGTGTTTCATTAGAAAAATCAGGTCAGTTCAATAAGATGCATTTTTTTTTCTCTATAACCATCCACACCATAATTCTGCAACATTTTCCAACAGAATAATTGTGTTGCCCACATACCTCCATGAGTTTTTCAATTTTCTGTGCTTCTCCCTGAAAAAAAAAAAGAAAAAAAAAGTTCATTAATTACTTAAAAGGCAATTTTCGGCTTACTTGGAATAATGCAGATAAAAAGAAAAAACTACTACACCTTAATTTTGTTAATAATTTGAATACAATATAAATGTGTTTTTATAAATAGTCCATTGTATCTATGAAAGGGCATTTATACTTTTAAATTTGTTGACAATGGGGTTGAGGGAGAAAAAAAACAAAAAAAAAAAAAAAAAAAAAAAAAAAAATGATATTAGTACAAATTATTTTATTTCATTTATTTATATATATGTGTGTGTGTGTGTGTGTGTGTGTGTGTGTAGAGAGCAGAGTGTTCAACTTGCTAAAAATGTTTTATTAATGTATTTAACCATCATAATTATACAAGTTAAAAAAATTTTTTAAAAATTGATAATCAACAAATATTTGTTAGCTATTGACAGTTACGCAAGCAAGGCTCTTGTAAAAATTAAGAAAAATGTGTCTGGTATTCATCACTATACTTTTATTAACAACAACAACTGGGTTCTTACCGGCATTCTGAAAAAGGACTGGAACTTTCGAAGTGCTACATCCACTTGGAGTCCTGACAAATCTATTTCCTCAGCAAAGTAACTGAAAAATAAAGTAAAAAGTAATTCAAAGAAATATATTTGGAAAATTTCAATAGGATATTTCTCATCCCTAATTACCAATGATACTAGGAATAACATCCATTCAAAACACTAGTCACTGTAGAAAAAAAAAACTATTTGAACCCAGACAACATTGCTGGTACATAGTACAGCATCTGTGATAGTAGCAGTAGAAATATCAATACTGGTAGTTGTACTTAAGTTGCTTTGCAGAAATGAAAAACTCTTGACAATACAAGACAAGGCCACAAAAAAAAAAAAAAAAGTGTTAAAGATTTGCTACAAAAACTTTCTTCATTCAGAATTGCAAACAACACTCTACAGTCAGGCATATTCAATGTCAAGTTGTAAGTGTCCAGTACAAAAAGCTCTCTACATACCAATCTCTTTCATTTACAAAAGAAATCATATTCTTGCCTCAAGTAACAAACCATGAGTTGCTATACAACAGCTATCAAAGAAGTCTTCACATGCAACTTAAGAATAATACAAGTGTCAGCAGAATCAGAATATTGAAACCATCTCATTGCAATCTTTCTTTGAATGAACATTCATGTCAGTTACACTGAACTGCACAATTTAAAGTGATCAGTTTGCTAAATCAGTTTTGGAAATTTTTTTTTTTTAAACCAAGATTCTTGTGTGATCATGTAAAGGCTGTAGATATAACTGAAGCTTATCTCTGATGTTCTTAGAATAAAATTCAAGTGGCATAAGTTCATTTAGGTGAATCAATTGATTCGTCTGATAAAATAATCATCTTTTTTCTCAGTTGTGAGTTCAATATTATTAGGCATCAGAATTTTCTTTAAAGGTTCCAATTTTTCTGTTTCTTTTTAAGTTGGGGAAGACAATCACAGGCTGCTTTTTCTAAGATGGAAGATAGAAGTTGAATCATTTTGGGGGTGGAGAGGGAATCAAGAAACAACAGTATTAAAAGATTTCAATGTTTCCAAAAATGTCTATAAACAAACCTTCACCTCTCTAGAAAGAGTTTAAAAATCTGCAACTTCAAAAAACTTAAAAATGAACTCTTTGCACAAAGTTTGAATCTTCTGAGTGACAACATTTAAAAGGCAATAGTTCATAAACAAAATGACCAGCAAGCCTCACTAGTCATGTGCAGAAACCAAAGACCCTGTTGCAACTCCCACCTCACAATTCAAGAACCATTTAACTATCTTGGCATTAAAGAGAGAAAGCAAAACAGACTTGTTGCTCAGAGTAATGATTTTCCCCTCCCCTGTCAGTCCCACCAACTAAAAAAAATAGAAGAAGCAAGCCAAAGTGTTTTAAGGGGCATAATCCATTAGTGGGGAAACTGTTTGGCAGAAATGAGTCAAACAACACAAGCTGTAGCAGATTCTTATCCATTCCCCTACCCAGACTGCCTGACACTTCTTTTGCTAAAAGACAACAAAAGGAAGGAGGAGGAAGAGGAGGAGAATGCTTTCTGGTGACTGAAGATGACAAATGCAAGGGAAACAGAATGGTGAGTCAGATATTGAATCTGATCCAGAGTTAAGTTTGTGATGCACAGAACACAAGCAGAGGAAAACAGGAACACTGTATGCAGGGTGGACGTAGTTGGAGAGGGGACAGCAGAGAGAGAAAGAAAGACACTGGTAGGGAAGAGATACAGTGATATGCTTTTTGAGTGACCAATTTCACAGCATAAACATACTGCAGCAGAGCATTCAACAAGAACCACTTCCAGCCAGGATTTTTATTATCAAATTAAAATTCTGCAAATAACCAACCACTACCAATCAATTCTTGTACAAATTTCGTACTCATTTCTCTTTGAAATAGGCACAGAATACACCAATATAAAAAGCGCATATTTTCACGCACATACATACCCTTTATTCATGAAAGAGAAAGTCAAAAGAAATCTTGTTAAATATTAAATTCCTTTAGTTTTTTTTTTAATACATAGCTTACTGTTTGTGTGGTTACATTTCCTTGACGAATTTTGTGTGTGTGTGTGTAAATAAAAATGATGCCAAGACCTGATTTTGAGCAGTACCATCGATTGATCTAATCTCAAATATAGGCAGCTTGGATGTGGCTTTTTAGCCCTGCTCAGGTCTTACATTGTCTTGCACAGATGTGATAACATTGGACATCTTTTGCAGTATTCATCAAATGCTGCATAACATTTAATGAATAGTTTGTGTGTGTGTGTGTGTGTGTGTGTGTGTGTGTGGTATCTTTGAAGCCTTCTAACAAACAGAACCAACCACATTCATTACATGATAGATCAAGTTTTGCAGCAACATTTTCAGAGAAGTTAATATCAAGACATTTATGAATATTTCTCAAATTTTTTATGCACAAGACTATTCTGTTCAAAGCCTCTCTTACTAGTGTGCTCTGCTTTCTCCCAGGAAAAACTATATATATATATATATATATATATATATATAGTGTGTGTCTAAATTTAGCTCTCACAGAGTTTTGTTAAGCTATTTCTTATTTTCTATTGCAAGAACATTTTCACTTCATTTCTAATAAAAAAATTGGCCAACAAAATTGAAAATTTATCACACAAAAAAATAATAAGCAAAGGTTTTTGGTAAAGTCAGGTATTTAACATTGTTCTTAAATATAATTGATTCTTTTTAAGGCTTATCACCCTTTGAAACTTATTTCCAATTGTATAAGATTGCTTACAGTAGCTTGTGTTTACCAAGCAGTCCTCCATCTAAGTACTCACTTGGCTCAAAACTACTTAACTTTGCTGATTGAATAAGAACCTGTGTTTCAGCATGGTTTGACCGTAGACATTTTAAATATAAAACTACACTCTTTGAAGTGGGTATTTTGTTTGTTTAGTTAAAACACATTTTGAGTTTACTATAAATGAATCAACTTGATAACTTTCAAATTTTTAGAGGCATTAAAAATTATTTTATCAGTTCATTAAATTGGCAAAGCCCATAAGCCATGAACAAATGAATGCTATTGTGAAGAAAAAAAAAATGATATGTTCTCTGCAGACTAAATATAATTAGATATAATGCAATGTAACTAATATATTACATACACACAAACATCAGTTTCAAGCCTGACATTTGCTCCACTTTTGATTATTTTTAAATCAAGACAAAACCCATATGGTTATTTTCTCCTTTATCAATTTTACAAAATCAGCAGCACTGCCACCATTTTTCAAGCATTCATTACTTTTTGGATTACCAGTTTCGAATTAGGCCTAAGACATTAATTGACTTGTTTGCATCTATCAATCATACATTATTAATACAACCTATTTGGGGAATTATTTTTAGCAAGCAGATTAACAACAAAAACAAAATAAATAAATAAATAAAAAAAATAAAAATAAAAAAATAAAAATGGCCGAAATTGGCTATTAACTTATACTGAAATTACACGAAGAGCATACAATGAGAATGGAAACTATGCCAGTAGTGGATTTATTTCTGATGAAGAAATTATCTGCAAGCTTCTTTCATGTGGAGAGAGAAAAGAGAATTTAAGAATACATTTAATTTAGAAAGCTAAATGGAAAGCATAAAGAATGAAATAATTTAAATCAATTGTAGCAATGACCATGATAAAAAGTTCAATTTGCAGTGTTGACATTTTAGTATCCAAGTGACTCAACAAATTTATATGGCTAATTTGTACAGGGATTTGAACACTCAACTTGTTTTGAATGCTATTTACAAAACATGGACATTCAGCTTTCTATAGATGGAAATAAGTTGTTTGAGAATACACATTTTTCAGTAACTAAATTGAATGCAGGTGTTCATTTGTGAAACCATGTAATATTAACTGTCTGATTGATATAGGACAATGTTTTATAGAAAACAATGAAATATATATCAATGTTGTTAATGGGCTGAAAGATTGAAATATGTGATGGAAATTTTAAATTATAACAAAGTGTTCCTATCAAATCGGCTTAAAAATTTTCCTTTTACAAAAATACAGTGTAGGACAAGAAACAATAAAAAGGTGGGCTAACATTTGAATATTGATCATTTGCTGCTTCTGTAATTCTAAAACTGTGTTAAACTAATGAAGTCTTAATGGAAAGCATTACTTGCTAAAAGAGAAAAGCCCACTCTGAATAACCATATGACTTAGTATATTTATTAATTACTGTTCTAAGCATTAAACTAAATTAACTTATGAGTTGTTTTGCTAGATCCTGGCAACTCAAGTATCATGAATGAAAAGATAAAGGGAGCTTTTTATTTTGATAATTTACAAGCAGAGAGAAAAAGATTTCAAAATGTTCCAGATCATCATGAATATGATATTAATTTTATTAATCCACTCTTTCTCTCTAGGGTAAAAGAAGAGATATAGGAGAAAATCAATTTTCTAAGACAAGATACATTTAAATCTGGAAATAACAGAGGGAGGGAGACAACAGTAAAAAAAAAAGTAGCAGACACTAAAGTAATTTAGAGTAAGGAAGCAAGAATACAAAAGAGAAAATAATGTAACATTTCTTTAAACCCAGTTTTTATTTTACTGAAGAGGGGGGGGGCTGTCAACATGTTCAGACCATGGACTTTTCAGCACCAATGTATGTGTGTGTGTGTGTGTGTGTGTGTGTGTCAAACAGATTTAAAGAGTTATGCATATTTATGAAATACCATTCTCTTATCTAACTTTCATAGATACAACATATTCATACATCATTTCTTCATGGCCTCCATATTCATCAGTTCATGGGAAGGAGAGAGAGAGAATGACAACCAAATAGATTTTTGCCTAAGAAGACATCTTCTAAAATCAAAGCTGAATAATGATAAAAGCAAGATGTTGAAGCTGTGAAAGTTAAGATGAGGGGATAATGTTTGACAAAGGACAAAATGAACTTGGTTATCATTGCAGAGCCATCACATCTGATAACCAATGGCTTACAAAAATCATCATTTAAAGATCATTGACAACTGTCAACACTTTTGGTTGTTCACTATCAATTCACATCTATTT